GCCGGGCGAGGTGGCGGGCGCCTGTAGTCCCAGCTACTTGGGAGGCTGAGGCAGGAGAATGGCGTAAACCCAGGAGACAGAGATTGCAGTGAGCTGAGATCCGGCCACTGCACTCCAGCCTGGGCGACAGAGCGAGACTCCGACTCAAAAAAAAAAAAAAAGGCTGCTTAAATAATGTTAGCGTTTCTTTTTAATTAACCAATCTGCAATTTTCCCTCAACTGACAGGTTAGTCAACCTGTCAATAATTTTCCAGAGGAGGGGATCTTGCTTTCATGTGTGACCTGGTGTTTCCTGAGTCTATTCTGCATTCCAGGGATCTGTTAATTCCCTTAATTCTCCAATCAAAAACACCCCCATTCAAAAACCAACCACCACCACCTCTATTCAAACATAATAGAAACACATTCCACAACTCACAAATACAACTTCTAGATGACCATTTTGCATTACTCATCCTACTGCTCTACACTTAGAGAAGCAAACACCCGTCGGACATTTACCTTTGTAGCATACGTAGGTTTATCGATGGCTTCATCTCCTATGAAAAAGTCAAGGTCATCAACTCCCCTCAACACTCTCCTTTGGGCTTGGTCAACTACCTTTGCCGACTCTCTGATGGCAATACCTTAAAAAAAAAACACACACACAGATTTCTATCATTATCCATATCTATTTAAATGATCAAAAGGGATAATATCCCTATATACACACAAGTAAATTTTCATTGTTAGGGTTCCAAGTGGGGTGAAGGATGCTCACAAAAAAGACAATGTCAATGAGTACATAAAATAATACAGAAACAAGCTATTCTATTCTGGTATGATTTTCAGAATGGTACAAAGGAAATGAGCTGCTCTGCTTTTATACTGACAGAAGCTACATTACTAAATTTCTGTTTTATCTGGAAAAATCCCTCAAGATAGTAAAGTGAAATGCCTATACATCAGTAGGTTCCAAATTTAAAGTACAATATAGAAGGGGACAAAATTCTGTACAATACAGAAAAGGAGAGTAAACAGAAAAATAATGTCTCTAATAAAACTCTACATCACATAGCCTTAAAATGTATTTTTAGTATTGTTACAGGGAGAAAAAAAGCCACGACTTCCCATTAAAATGATAAATTAGAATGTTACTGGTTAATATCTGTAGCCAAAAAAAAGTGCCATAATCAAATAACTATTACATAAAAATTCCAAATATTAATGGCTTTATAATTCATTATTTTAGTAAGATCTTAACCTTAAATATTTGGGAATATACTTAGTAGTTAATAATCATATCGAACTTCACTCTAGAATTTAACATCTAATGAAATGTGGAGGGCATCACAAAGATTCCATTTTCCACTGAAATTCCTAACTCCTGGTCACATTCTTGAGCTCTCCCATGAGCTATTTACATCCATCAGGTCTTGACATCAACACCATCTCCTCCCTTGAAGGCTTCCTTGACAACCTGCAGTTCTGCACATGTGTTTGATGCTTCCACTGGCCCTTTTATACCTGCATTAAGGCATTTTTCAGGATGAATTACAATTGTTTAAGATCAGTCTACCAAACTGTAGATTCCTTAACGTCAAATAACACCCACCTTTCACTGTTTCTGCAGTGGGAGGCTCAGATATCAATAACTAAAAGTTTACATTTATTGAACACTCTGCTAAGTGTTTCCTTTTGCACACTACTTTATTTAACCCTCACAACAGCTTATGAGACAGGTACTATTATCTGCATTTTACAGAAACAGAAACTTAACAATCTATCAAGGTCACACAGCTTCTAAGAGACACAGACAGGATTTGCACCTAAGCAGGCCGCTGACTATCAGAATAGGCATTAGAGAAATATTTGTCAAATTAACATTTTACTCCACTAAAACATTTATTGTGGGTTTGAAAAATGGTCAAACTATACCTAAATAATTCTAACATAAACCTAATTCCATAAATACACTAATGACATCTCACTATCCTTAATGTATTTCAGATGAAAGTACAACTCTCCTAGCTATACAAATATAAGTGCTAGATAAAATTTCTCCAAATTAAAACATCAAAATCTTTGTGACTTACTACCCAAGTGATGTACAGAATCAGTACAGTCCTTATCAAAATACCAATGGCATCCTTCACAGAAATAGAAAAAATAATCCTAAGTTCACATGGAACCACAAGAGACCCCAAATAGTCAAGGGAATCTTAAGCAAAAAGAACAAAGCTGGAAGGATCACACTACCTGACTTCAGAGTACACTACAAAGCTACAGTAATCAAAACAGCATGGTACTGGTATAAAAACAGACATATAAACCAGTGGAAAAAACAGCCAGAAATGAATCCATGTATTTACACTCAACTGATTTTACACAATGGGTAAAGTGTAAATGTTACTGGGGAAACTGGATATCCATATGCAGAAGAATGAAAATGAATGCTTATTTCTCAACCATACACAAAAATTAACTCAAAATGGATTAAAGACTTCAATGTAAGACCTGAAACTGTGGA